GTTCTTAATACACAATTAAGCTTATATGAAAATTTTTAATATATAATAGATTCGGCTTATGCTAGTTATTACTAAAAATGATAAAAACAAATCAAATTAATTAGACTTGGTGGCAGTAGATGGTCCATGAATTTTTGAAATTGTAGCAAGAAGTTGCTCTGCCGTCTTTTCTTCCTCCTGGTATTCATTCCATGCCTTAAGTATCTTGCCCTGATGTTCCCTATACTTCTTTCTTTGCACTTTGCAAACTTTGCCATCTGAAACTAGCCTGATATTTAACATTGTCAGTCTTGCTTCGAAATAAAGGAAATCAATCAACATGTAGAGGGGAAGGTGGBTTTTCCCTGATCTCTTATTTATGGCATTGTGCCAACCCTCTATATCATTATTGGTTCTCACAGGCTGTAGGAACACACTCCAGTTGTGGATGCGGAAGGTTTCATGGCGTATCCACTGCCTCTTGATATAGCTGGCCAGGTCTTTCAATGAGTCTGTTGCTGCCTCCCTCTTTAACTTTAACTAATTTCATGGGGAGGCAAAAAGGGCAGTGCAAGGATTTTTCTGATGTAGCAGTATGTCCCTCTATCCTGGCRGTAATTCTGTGATAGCCCGAGCTCCTGCACCTGCAGAGAAATACAGGAAAAATTGAAAACTTGTTGTCATGATAATGTCAACACAGAATTGCATTGAGCATAGAAAGATGTTTGGCAGTTTAATGCTCCATTTAAAGGGACAACTTCATTGCAGTAGAAATACATTTTTTWCTATTTTTTACCTTCCTCCACACTGCTTGTGTCCAGTGAAATACACAACCCTGTATTTCAACACCAGGTAAAACGTCCATGAATGCCTSCCACTCTGCAATTTCGTAGTCGAGGGTCACTTGCTTTACTGCAGGGTCARTCAACATCTCCATTATTGTACGCAGCACCTAACGAAATACAGAAATACACTATAATTATAGGAATGATAAGAAATAATTATGGTAAYACATACTGAAGAGGAGAATTATTTACCTCAACATAGTCCTCTTTTCTCTTCCCTGACATGACTACAAACACCAGTGGGAACTGTTTGAAATTGTTGTCTGACTTTATAAATGCATTGATTGTAAATAACTGTTTGAATGGATTCCGTATGAGCTTGAAGGTGGCATCTACATACCAGGTCTTGGCCTAAAAGAAACATTAAAACTGTAAATGATTGTCAAAGTAAAGATCCCTTCACTAACATGGGTTAACATAAGTCCATGGTTTTAGTGCAATGTTATATATACCTGTTGTAGGAACTCCAGCTGTGTTTTAGTGCAAAATACAAGGTGCCTTCGTGATTGTGTTGCCCAGACATCTGCGAATATGAAGTCCTCTGGTATGCAATCTTTGTTGAGGTCAAAAT